TTTGATTCCTTTATGATTAAATCTTCTCAATTTAGTTTAATTTTTTTAGTCTTGGATTAGTTCAGTGAGATTTTTTTTGAACATACGCGCGATGGCTTACATTATGTATACATATAGTGTGGCAAGTGTATCCTGTCTGTATAGCTCTTCCTCGTTTTTCAATCACCAAAATTAATTTATTCTTTAGTCGTATTCAGATACAAGTTGTAGCAGACGTTCATGAACAACATACACAAGAGCAGTCACAAAAACACGCTATAATGCGAAAAGTATTAAGTAATGGTGAACGCCAAAAACGATTTCGTGCTAAAAAAGGAGCATTAAGTAATAGATCAACTCAAAGTAGCTTTCATCAACCACGAACTACTGCTGAACGTCAAAGATTATAAAAGCAAATGAGAAATTGCGTCAAAAAATATAGAAACTCAAGAAGAAGAGTTTACACAAACTCAAGAAGAACAATATGTACAACATCTCGTTAAAGAATCTTAAATGATGCAAATAAAAAGATATTTTACATTCAAAAGGAAATTAAATTAAATTTTACCTATTCCTGATCCATTTATAATTTATTACTGACACGAATATTAAAATTATAAAATAAAACAATTATTACCATCATGCGTTAAACAAGTTCAATATTTCATCGCTTCTATTAATTTATGAAGTTATCACTTCTGTCGAGCGTCCCGTGACGCACACCATTTTTTTTAATGAAATGTCGAGCATATTCACTGTCGATTTTGCACTACGTTCTTCAAAAGGTCATTTCTGAAGAACCAGACAAGTTAAGAACTTGCGGCTTCCAGCATCTTCTATAAACGAAGACGTGGTTTAATTATTATGTGAATGCGGGCAAAATCCAGTTAAGAGCTTCTTAGAAATGAATTTCCAACTTTGCGCGGATTTTGCACCCTAAGCACCCTAAGCTGAAATATTTGTTTGCAGCTTCTAGCAGCTTTCATACCAAGCCGTAAGATGTTGAGCATGCCTTAGTTTGGAAGATGGGAATTTTTAAAGGAATTCGGTGGAAATTTTATTTTTAGACTGATATTTATTAAGCTGGCGAAAACCAGGATTCAGGGCCTTTTCTATCAAACTTTTGGCATCTGTAGAATCAAGGGCATTTGAAAGATACAAARCGTTTCAAATTCCTGGTTGCTGTACTTTGGAAGACGAGAATATTTAAAGGAAAGCGCACAATTGATAGAACCTTCCATTTTGAGACCGCACTTTAGTGAGCTGATAAAAATCAGGATGCAGGGTGATTTTTGTAAAACTATCCGCACAATTAGGGCCAAGTATCTGCTTAAGACTGGAAAGATTTCAAGTCGCTATTTGCATTAGTTTAGAAGATTTGGTGGATGGAGATGTGTGGATGATTTTGGAGAGAATTGCAAAAACATGGTTTCCCAAAACTCGAAATACCTCAAAAACGAAAAACGATGGAAGAAAGCTTTTTCACAAAGTCAATAACAAACGAGTTGTTGCGAAGGTTCCAATCTCTTCTAAATTCTGCCAAAAAATGTCTGTATTTTCTCAAAAACAAAGCTCCCTATCGAAAAACGTCGTTCTTCATGAAAATTCGGGCCTATCCAGGTGCATCTAGCGGTGCTGTCCTCAGTTCCCATTTTTAGAATGAGACCATTGGAAACTCATTAAAAAACAGGGCGTTTTCAACTATGAAACCAGTGTCCTGCCCGTAGGGCTCGGCGCAACCTTTATAGTAACAAATTGCCAGTTTGTCCATTGAAAATTGGCCAGTTGAACGTTTTGAAGCCATTGATTGATTGGTTTCGCCAAGGCATTGGAGCCTCAATATTCCGGCTGAGAAACGGGTGTTCGGACATTCCTGCCTCGATCCTGGAAAATGTGACCGATTCCAAAATTCCCCACACGTTTACGCTTATTGAGTGCCGACGAAATCTAATATATTGGTGTCGTGACAATGGGAAACACTGACAGCGCGTACGTTTATTCGTCGCAGAAATCCCATGAAGCTGAGTCTGGACCGTATCCAGGCCAGTTGTTTTATTGCCGAAGCCTCATTCATTAGCCGAGTTAGGGCTGAAACACCGAGGCAAACTATTCGCTTTTAATACCTACCTACAGGGTAACGTACAAAGCAAGGGGCTGGAAGTGTAAGTTATAGTTTGCTGGGGGGTTTAGCGGAAAATATCCGCCACTCTCCAACTGTTTGAATAGATAATAGGCCCGGTCTCAGTTTTGCTGTATTGTTATATGGAATTTGCGTGTTTCACGGTCGAACTTACCACGGAACATACACGGGGCTTTATGTAGTTGATGCCCGCCAGTTTCGTTAGTCTTACGGTGTCGTTAATCTGTTCGCTATTAATTATGGCGCCGCTATTGAATTGTTTGACGTGTTGCAGGAAAGACTCGGGGCTATAAATTAGCTGCCGTTTAGGCTCGGCCGCACTTCTCGGATAGTTACGCAACTGTTTCCAGTTGTTATCCCATTATTGATAATCATGTCACTCAACTACGTCGAGCAACTGATTAATTAATATAAATATGCGAAAAATAGGCGAGAACACAATGCGAAAGAGTCAGCGCTCAGCTAATCCGCACACGGTCCCAAATAGGAAACATAATGTGCCGATAAAGGATCGACTCGTAGCTGAGCACGTTCCAAACAGCAAAAACATCCCCCATCTAACAAGGGCTTTTCATCTCGCCGTTAAAAATGGTGCATACGCATCTGGAGCTTTTATAAAACTGCACATTTCCAGACAAAATGTCGTCATTATATATTCAGCGGGCTATTGTCGCTTCGTGTAGTTGAGAGTGAGCATCTCTTGTGCTGCTCGTTAGAAACAGCGACGCGAAACATGCACAATGATGCTTTTTTCTTTTAAGCAGCTGAAATGGGCACTCGTAGCTAATTGGACGTTGCTTTTGCGGTGGAAAATTTGCGAGCAACAAGATGATACATATGGAAATTGATCCATATTTTGTATGCAAATGCCCACCGTTTCCAGTTGGATAATCCAAGGCATCCATTTAAGCTGTATGGGCGAAGCCCCAAAGTTCTTTTGAGTAAATTTGCCAAATATTGAGCTTTAATGAGCCAACTGAGCAAGCAGACTTATTGGCTGCGATCCGGATTTACCTCAAAATCTTTCAGCTTCAAAGAAGTCTATGAAGAGTGTCTATCTCTGAACTCGTTAGGGTCTGACGCCAGTAGACCAAGACAAAACTCGAAATATTTTAAAGAGAGTTTAAACCATCAGCATATAGACCGCTTTCATCCGCATAAGAATGGTGGTATTGGCGTTTTCTCAAAAATTGGCTTCAATAAACAATCGAATCTCATGCAAAATTCCACCAAAAAGGCACGAAAAAGGTTCAAAAGAATGCGAAAATCTGATTTTTTTACAGACGACAAATCCCGCCAATTTAAGCAGAACTTTCAGTTTCGGCAATTTAGATCAAAATGTCCACTCTAATGCTCTATCCAGAATTTACAATACAAAGCAGAATTGAAATTTCAAAAAATGTACTTCGAAAAACCCTCTTGTACCGAAAAGATGCCGAAAACCGAAACTTTAAACCGAAAAAGATGCGGATTTACACTCGGACTAATTTAGGATGCGATCCAGTCTTGCTGTACATTCAACCACATTTCTTCAATTATACGACCACTGATAAGATGATCGGATGAAAATCCGGGGTGGCGGCCACAATTCACAAAAATCACTTGTTGTTTTACGAGACGAGCCGGAAAATCCAGTCCCTGGCCATTTTCCATCAGACAAAAGTGGAAATTTTATTATTCCATAAATGCAATTTTGACGAGCGCCGGGGCTCATTCGCCTCGCGTTCGGCTGAATTTAATTTTGGGGAGCCAATTTAAAACAATAAGGGGCCTTTGTTAGGTTTCCCAAGGCGGGGCGGTACCACATAACTACTGCGATATTTGCGCTCTCGTCCAAACTTGGCAATTTCCTTTCAAACACTCTGTACATTTTTCGATTTCCATATTTCTATAGAAGCCACATTGGATCACAGTCTGTGTGGGAATTGGAGGAGAAAAATTTTCAGAAGTCAGTAGCAATACATAATTGGTTCGCATTTGCACTGTTGCCGAGTTAATAGAATTTTAACAGAAAATGGGAGAAAATTGAATGCAAATCGCGGAGTTTTGGTGACGCTCTTGATCCCTAATTTATGTCTCCGGTAAGCATTTTATAAACACCTGTGCCTTTCTTTTCGCCCTTGTCGCGGTTTCATTATTGGACCATTGTCTTGTCGCTGAATCTACTTTTTCGGGGAATTAAAAAGCTTCATTCCGTGCAGGATGAAAAATTGGGGCCAAATGTGGCCGTTTGTCAGGATTAAGCCGTTCGAAAGGGGCGCTCGATATTATTTCGCGAACACTTTCTAAGAGGATTCACTGTGCCCCGTCAAACTTTATACCGCCTTGAAAAAAAAAGAAAATCCACCGCTTTCCACTCATTCTGCGCGATCTTAATTAGGCATGTTAATCCCCCTGGATGGCCATTCACACACCTTCCAGTCAAATTACCTTTTAGCTATTGGTCCCCGGAGTAATTCGCCGTAGTCGTAGAAATCCGGATTTTTTACCGCAATTATTTGCTGTGCGCAATCTAATTAGCCATTTCCTTCGGTAGTTGTCCCTGGAGGATTTCGCTGTTTCTTGCCTTTGCACGAGTGGCTCGATTCTGGCAAGCTCTAAAAATATTGAGCCTCCACTATTCCAGAGCTAACAGTAACACGAATCCCTACTTACCAACGCATTTGGACTTGTCATAAAGTTGGAAGTATAATTTTCACGTTGCGCTGCCTTCCGGAGGCAGCGTTATAGTCCGGAGTCCGGAGATTTTCCAACCAATCACTGTCCTGAATAGGCTGACATTTTATGAAACAAACGACATATTCCGTAGCACCATTCTTCAATTTCTGAGAGAAACTCTGGAATGCAGTAGATTTTTGAAAGATTTTATTGGTTCATTTGTAGTTGAGAGTTTTCTTTCTGTTTGGAGCTTTTTCTTGTCTATCAAAATCAAAATATTTGTTGGGGTTTTCAGATTGTTTTTTGAGCAGCTTTTAAAAGTTTCCTTAACTGGCACTGATTTAAATCTTATCAACGAAGTCTTCGTCTATTCGCGGAAAAATTAGGAAATTGCTGGCCTCATTAGATCAGACAGTATATGAAGAAAGCCAGGGTGAGAGCTCTGACAATAGTTTTCAGACCCAACAGGCCACAGTTTGATTTTTTTCAAAAATCCCTGAGGATGGTAAAAAGCGAAACTTTTGCCAGACACAAAATGCACTTTGCTTCATTTGAAGTAAGACCTGGCAAGTTTCGGTCCTTGTTGGTTTGGGATAAAAAATTTTAAGTTCATTTGCCCTGCAAACATGCTTGAAATTTTAAGAAATTCGCAAAAAAATTGTGGTAATTAAACTGGGTCGAAACTTTCAAGTATATTTCCACAAAGGTATTCTTCATTGAGAAAACAGTTAGGAAGTTCTTAATTCCCTTGGATCGGGCGAAAAATAACAAAAAACCGTCACTTTTCGCTATAATGAGTTTCGATCAAAACCGACCAGTTTGAAAATCCCTCTAGAAATCTCTGAGATTGACGGAAAAGCGCAACTTTTGCCATAAACAAAACGCACTTTGTTTTACGCATTTCATAAATTGTCAAGTTTCTATTTCGATCAGTTTGAAAGAAATTAATTTTGAAATCCACGCTGACCAATCCTGATGATTGAACTGCATCGAAACCTTCTGGGGTGTATCAAAAAAGGTTTCATCCAACTCGGAACGGAGACAGAAAACTTCTTCTTGAATTGAATCAAGAGGAATACGAAAAACAAAACATTGTTACTGTCTTTCTGTTGACTAAGTCTCGGCAAAAATCACCAAGTTTGAAAAAAATCCTAAAAATCTCTGAAAATGCTGGGAACACCAAATTTTTCTAGAAAGGAATCTCACTTTCATTTATTTTTTTCAGTCAGTCAGTTTCGGTCAGTTTGAAAGAAATTATTTTTTTAAATTCACTTTTCGTTAAACGAACATTGTAAGTTTGAAGCATTGTTGCAAACGAATTCCTGAAGATAAAATTGGCAAGAAACGTTCTTGGTTGTATCAAGGAATCTTTCCTTCATCTGCAAAAGGGGTCAGAAAGTTCGCTTCTGTATTGGATCAGGAGAAATGCAATAAAATACATTGGCGGTTTTCTCTCTCGCGATTAATTTTTTCCCAAAACCCACCAATGTTCCCCTAAAAATCCCTAAAAATCCCTGAGGACGATGGGAAAACGAAACTTTCGCTCTCAACAAAATGTACTTTGCTCCATTCATAGCATTGTTTGGCAACTTTCGTTCTTGCTTAGAATAGAAGAAATTTTTTTTTTTAATGGACTGGACTAATTTGCGACCAAAATCGTCCAAAGTTTGAAAAATTCCCGAATAATTCCTGAGGATGGTGAGAAAACGAAACTTTTCACTAAAACAAAACATACTTTGATTCATCCATAGAAGCAATTTGCTTGTCCGGATCTTTAACTATTTGAAGAAAATTAGTTTTTCAAATACACCACTACCCAAAACGTGCTCTGGAAGTTTGAAAATTCTGAATAAAATCTGATGACTCGAAACGCTCACGAATTCACCAGGGCAGTCTTTGTGTATATTAAAAAAAAGTTTAAAGTTCCTGTCTTTAGTGAATTAGGCGAGATATTGATTTTTCCATAAACCCTCTATTTAAAATAGAGCGCGGCAACTTTCAATTTGGTCTATTCTGAATGTCCGATGTTCATGTAAAACTTGCTGAACCGAAAAAACATCCACAAAAAAACCTTGATAATGGAACAAGCTCGAAACTTTCGAGAAACAATGAAGGAAACTTGGCTCTAGTCGGTGTATAGGGCTCGAAACATTCTTTCCGCTTTTCGCGTTTAAAACGCACTGATTTTTACAAATAATTTTTGCAAGCGCGTTTCGATCAAAACATGCCGATAATCAAAAAAATCCTCCAAGAGCCCTGATGATGGTGGACAATCGAAACTTTTAGGCCAAATAAAACAAGCTTTTCTCAATTTAATGCAGATATAGACAAGTTTTTGTTCTTGTTAGTATCGAGAGTAATTGATTTTGAAAATGGACAAAACAGAGTCTTTGAGAAACTTTCACGATTATCTCAGGACGACTTTGCGCGAAAACATACAATGATTTAGGTCAATTACAGACGATTTCTAATGCAATTTCGTCAAATCAGCTGAAAAATCTCAGTGTTCGGACGACAAAAACTCGTAAAAAACAATCGCCGCAAAAGCAGCAACAGAAGAACAAAACAAAAAACCATCAACCAATCATGGAACTATTACGGAAATGCACTCGCTTCGACATACAACCACGTAAATGTCGCTAGCGATAACAAAACAGTTGAGTTTATTTCGCAATAATGTGTGTCGTGATTAAAATCTGGAAACATGGAAAAATGACATTTCGAAATGGAGGCAACGAAATTGCTGGAAATCATGCGAAAGGGAGCGGCGGTGGCGAATTAATGGAGATAATGCATATTTATAGCAATTGCTCGGATCCACAGAACGGATCAAACAACATCTTAAAAGCAAATAATTTAGAGCGTTTGATGAACTGGGAAACAGTTGGAAATGGGACTTTCCAGTACGCAAAGTCCGAGTGGCCGAATGGTCCAGTTTCTCCACTGTTTTTTTCCTGTTCCAGTTTATCTAGTTGCCTGTTGCGCACGTACACCCTGTCTCTGGATCGGGAAGCTCTGGCAGGACCAAAATCAGTTCAGTATTACGCGAGTGGTGCGTGAGAAACGTCGAAATGGCCGTCGCGACGGCGTCAACGTAACGCCGTGATCGCCATGACTACGTCTGGACGCCGCTTTTTTGACATCGCGGGTGCCACTTTGATCCTGCTACTTTTCGGCCATCTGTCGACCTTCCATGGACTTGAACTTGGTAGGCATCCAAAGGCACGAAAAATCCCACAAAAATCCATTTGCTTCAGGGCCCCACCAAAAAAATTTAATCCTCAAGTTCCGAAGAACTTCAGGGGAATTGAAATAAATAGGCATCTTTGATTCTTGGCAGCTTTGTCGGTATTAACGTTGTTCGTTTTTTTTTTGCTTGAAATGGCAAGCTCCGGAAAACAACAGCGAAACGCTGGCTATATTAAATTAAATTAAATTTTGGAGTAGGCGCTGGCAAAGTTCCTTCAAAGTGGGATTGCGAATAAATCTAATTGCACAACTAAAGTAAACTGATTAAGTGACTTTGTGTTTGCTGCAGACTGCGCACCGATTCCCATTGCAGATGGCACGTTATTTAACATTCTTGTCAGGCCTTGTCGGGGATTTGCATTGGATTTGTGAGGAAAAACGCGAATTTTCAGTTAACTCCCCTTGTTTTGTCGGATAAATTACCAAAGAAGGGTTACTTAGAACGATGAAACTTTAAACATTCAGCCACTTTAACTCTTTATTGAAGGAATAATTTGAGAGTGGATGTTGAAAAGGAACCAATTAATAGAGCGAAGGTTTTTTGAAACCTGTTTCATCTAACGGGTGAAGCCTTAAAAGGTCAGTAGTTTCAGAGCTCTGAGCGCATTGAGTAAAAAATGGCTCAACCATCTCCGAGATACGAGCCTTATTTTGCTTCTAGCCTTTTACAGGTTATCAATTCTGGATTTATTTTAAGGCATAAAGATGGCTCTCAAGAGTAGTGTGCGATTTTTTCTGGTTTGAGAGATATCGACTAAACTTTGCAAGTTTTTGCCTGTAGCTTTGTTGAGGTTAAGAATTTCTGGTAAATGAGGTAAATAATAATGAAAATACTGCCTTAAAAACGGTCTATGAAAATCGTTCTTAAGAGTTGTATGTAATTTTGCGCGGTTTTCTAGATATTGACCAAAGTTTGCAAGTTTTACTCTTATTTTGCTAGCTCCGCAGAGGTTAGGAATTTTGCAAAAAATATATTAAAGAAAAAGTAGCTCTTGGGCCGCTCTATCAAATAAGTTCTTTGTTCTCCTGACCGATTTTCAACGATTAATGCGAATTTGATGAAAATTTTAAATTTTCTGCGTAATTTTGCTTAGGTTAGGAATTTTGCGAAATTTGCAATAAACAACATTTTGCCCTGGAGGCGCCCTTGCAAAATGGTTTTTAGGATCAGTACGCGATTTTCAGCGGTTTTCGAGGTACTGAGGAAAATTAGCAATTTATGCGTAATTTTGATTCTAATAGGTTAGAAATTTTGTGAAATTTATAATAAAGAAAATTTAGCCTTGGAGTCACTCGAACAAAATGGGCCTTCGGACAAGTACACGTGTTTTAGGGGTTTTCGAAATATTGAGGAAAATTAGCGATTTTTTGCGTAACTTTTCTTCTAATTCTGCATAGGTTAGAAATTTTGTGAAATTTCTAAGAAAGAAAATTTAGTCTTGGAGCCGCTCTAGCAAAATAGTCCTTATGACAAGTATGGGTTTTTTAGCGGTTTTCGAGATATTCAGGAAAGTTTGTAATTTTTTGCGTAATTTTGCTTCTAATTTTGGACAGGTTAGGAATTTTGTGACATTTGTAATAAAGGAAATTTAGCCCTGAAGCCGCTCTAGCAGAATGGTCATTATGACAAGTACGSGATTATTAGCGGTTTTAGAGATATTGAGGAAAATTAGCAAATTTTTTGTGTAGTTTTGCTTCTAATTTTTCATASGTTAGAAATTCCGTGAAATTTTTAATAAATACAATTTTGCCTTGGAGCCCCTCTTGCAAAGTGGTCCTTAGGACAAGTACGCGATTTTTAGCGGATTCCGAAATATTGCAGATATAAACATTTACAGTTTTCTGGCTTATTTTGCTTCTAATTTTGCATAGGTTAGCAAATTCGTGAAATTTTTAATAAAGAAAAAAGACGTCTGGAGCCCTTCTAGCAAAATGGTTCTTAGGACTAGCACGCGATTTTTAGCGGATTCTMAGATTTTGACCAAATTTCGCAACCCTTCGTTATTTTACTTCTGACCTTGGATAGGTTAAGAATTTAGGGTAAACGTCAWTCAAGGAAATATGGCTCTCAAGCCGCTCTATAMAAATGTTCTTACAATTAGTACGTAATTTTGAACCGTTTTTTGAGTAAATGACAAAAATTTRTAACTTTTTGCTTCAATTTCCTTTTAACTTTCAATAGGCTAGAAATTTGAAATAAAAGTTGACGAATAAAACATAGATTTTGAACCGTTCTACCAAAATGGCCCTTAGAACTAGTGCGGTATTATCTATCGTATCCCAGTTCTAGACCAAAAAAGTGCAACTTACATTTTTTCCCTGAAATTTTGTAGAGGTTAAAAATTAAAAAAAACTTTCATTGCAAAAATTATACTCCTCAAAACGCTCTACCAAAACAGTTCTTAGCACTTGTCGTGTATTTCCAGGCGTTTCCGAGCTTTTAAGCAAAATGTGCAACTTGAGTCCGTTTTTGCCCCTAACTTTGTAGAGGTTAGAAATTTCTAATAAAACCTAATTAGGGAAAAACAATCCATAATACGCCTCATTAAAAAGGTCCCCAGGAGTATCCAGCTATTCTTCACTGTTCCCGAATTATGAAGGTTTTAAGCGTTTAAAAAAATGGATCGTGTCCCCCACCAACACTCAACGCAATGAAGATGGAACCAAATCAGGACATTTATCTTTAACATCAAATGCCTAGAATGGACATTTGGATGATTGAATGGAAAAACAAACAAGAAGGAATTCTCGATCATGGGAAAACCTGATTGCGGATGGCTTCTGAATTATTGGCGAATATCTTCGAACAGAGCGGCTTTTTCTATTTTATATAAAGCAAAATTGAAAGCAACGGGTTTTGCCGGTCTCCACAGACCCACAAGAATGAAGCCTTTGGCAAAGCGAGCGGCCGCATTCAATTCCACCGAAACACCATTTACTCCTTAAGATATTCTATCAATTCTAAAGCCATCGAAAAGCAGCGCTAAATAATTCAGCGCGAAAACAACGATCAGTTCGTCGGGAAATTCTTGTACGAATGCGAAGGCAATTTCCCCGACTTGTGTTTTATTCAAGTTCGTAGCTGGCAGTCGACACTAGGTAAATTTCCACCTTTCCACCGTTCCAACGCCTCTGGTCGGCTAATAATTTACATTATTAAGGGAAACCGGGCTGTGAAAAACGTTCCGCAGATGGGAAACGGTGGTGATTCACTGAATCACTGTGAACGATCAAAAAAAATTCCTCAAGTTCGCGTTCACAGCAGAAACATTCTAAGCACATGTCGGGATAGAAGGGGCGGCGGCAGCCGCCACTTAATACATTCCAGTTGAATTTTCCTTTGCGAATAATGGAGTCTGAAAGCTGGGGAAATTGGAACGTTAAGAACATGCAGCTGGAAGTTCCGCTAAAAACGGGCAGGTTTCATAAAGTCGCATGTCTGACGTTTTTAAACGTTTTATTATTGGCTTCGGATCGTTTAAACGGCCGAGAGTTTGCCGACTTTAAGCACCTCGATGGGAATAAAGTTGGCGAAAGTTGTCCGACGATGTGACAGGACGGAATTTGCCCGTTTTTTGCTCGTTATCCAGATCGACTCAATTGCAACGATCGCATCATATGAAATTTAAGCAGCAGCAGCAGCAGCAGTGGTTTGCAGCAAATGTTTAATTTTTCGCTTAAAACGTATATTTTTCTCGTCAAGTCGTTTATACCAGAACGAATCCAAAATAGTCGGTTTCTCAATTCGTAAACACTGTAAATTTACAGGATGGTCGGAAGAAATGGCTGAAGAGTCTATTTTGTCCTACCGCGTTTTACAGGGCTGTCTTCAAAAATTGTCTGTCAAAAATTCCCCATTCAAACCGAACATTCGCTACGAGGGTGTTTTGCATGCCATTAGATAGATAATAGTTGACTTTATTATTTTGTGCTGATGTCAGTTTGCTCTCATTCTTGTTCAATTTTGAGCGATTGTTCAAAATGTGAAATCTCTTCTTGTCACTTTTCTGATTCGACAGATTTCTTTCAAAAATTTCTCCCCCTAACAAGAGGACAGTTGAAAAGTCACTTTTTATGTAATTTGTTAGAGGAAATCTGGCTCTTAAATTCCAGGCAGTGTCACTTTGTTATAAATATTTTTGAACTTTTGGCGATTTTTCAATTTTTTATGTTGAAATTTTGATTTTTCACCTGTTTCCTACTCAAAGATATACCGATATAAAATTGGTTTCATGCTCAAAACTAAGCTCGAACCTCGATTATATCTGAAATGCGAGATTCTTCTATAGAGAAAATTAGAATCGAAAATTCCTGCTAGCATCATTTTGCTACCGCATCTCCTCAATTGTTGCCGATTTTTCAACAGAGGATGTTGCAAATTTCAATTTTTCCATTTCCCGTTCGACAGTTTTAATTTCAAAAATTAATTATTCAAAACCCCGCTCTAACATTAATTGTTACTTTGATTTAAGTTAATTGAATAGCAAAAATGAAACTAGATTATGACTAAAAGCATCAGTTTCGTGTCGATTTCTTTCGATTATTGGTGATTTTTCAAAATAAAAGTGAAATTTGAATTGAGAAATGAGTGTCTCAAAACAGATTTTTTCAAATAACTCTCCCTTAAACACAAGACAAACTAGAAAGTTACTTTGTATGCTGTTCTATAGATCAAATGTGGCTCTATAATTTGCCGCCAGTTTCACTTTTCTAGACAGTTTCCTCCATAGTTTCCGATTTTTTCAATTTGACTGTTGAAAGTGTGAAGTTTCTTCTATCGTATTCGACAGGTTTTCTTTCAAAAATGTATTGTGTACTATGTAAAGTAAAAACCGGCTTCAAAATTGCCTTTATGGCTTTTAGATTCGCCTTGAGTTTCCTCAATTGTTGCCAATCTTTTAAGCTGAAATATTCAAATCTTATTTTGTTTCGCTCAAGATTCGACATGATTTTCTTTAAAAAATTTTTGCTCTAAGAGGAGATCAGCTAGACACGCGTTTTATGTGCCTTTAGAGAGAAAAGGTGCCTCGTATAATTCCCGAGAATACCATCTTGATACTCATTTTGCGCAATTGTTAACAATTTTTTCAATTTGGAAGTTCAAACCTTAACTGATCGTCTTGACATGTATTTTTTCAAAAAATTGTTACTCCAAGGAGAGATCAGCTAGAACGTTGCTTTCCACGGCTTTCTATAGAGGAATTGAGGCTCTATAATTTCCATCAGTATCACTTTGCAATGCCTTTCCTCAATTGTGGGCGATTATTTAAATTTGAGTGCTCTAATCATAAGTTGTCTCGGATCGGAGAAGACGCGTTAGAACGTGGAAATATAGCTCTATAATTTCTGCAAGTTTAATTATCTAGTTTTTCCTCAACTGTTGATTTTTCAAACGGTCATTACAAATATGAATTCCTCAAAACGGCAAATAGTCAGAGTGGTTTTTATTACGCTTCTGCATAGAGCAAACTGCACTCTATTCGCTCTGAAAAATATTTTTCTTGATTTTTGGTTATTTTTTTAATTGGAGAGCTTTAAAAGCAACTTAGCCGGTGGCACATTGAACAAATTTGCAAAAATTCGTCACAATGCGTCATGCACCTCTGAAGATGCACACCGCTTGTGCTTGGAAAACGTCTCCACGACGATTGAAAAACTGGCGAAGCTCACCAGTTTCAAAGTATGGTTTTTGCCAGATGAAGCCAAAAAAAGACATTAATTGACTGCGAGAAATGAAGAGAACGGTGACCCCCGCTTTATTCAGTTACGCCACTAAACCGACATCATTATCCCCAAATTTGGACCTTTCCACATTCCGGCGTCAACAACTTGGGCTGTGTTTTTCTCTATATCTAGATATAGGCAAAGTTATTCTGGTCGAGTAAATAGATAAACCCTGTGCTTTGTGGGGGTGGAAGCGCGGGGGTGAATAAAACATTTATTATGTGGCCTATAGGCAGGCGGGAAAGGGTCGAAGGACCTAAAAGTCGAGCGCGAGAAGAAATATTTTCATGCTCGGTGTCTTTTCGACAAAAGCAACCGTATAAACCGGATAGTTTATTGCATATTGAAGGCACGGCGAAAATGCACCTTTGCCGCAGCTCAACTCGAAATACGGGTCAGTATATTTAGTTCTTTTCGTTGCTGTTTGGCGGAAAATGCTTCTGAGGGGATCATTTGGAAATTCCATTCATTCCTATTGAGCCCACCTGGTAATTTGTAATATCGGGGTGTCTAGGGGGAGGCAGCCTGCCATTGGCTCTGGCAGGCGGTTGCTATGGCGATCGGTATGAAAACAGCCAAACACTCGCATATACGGGGGACGCAGGGAAAAAATCAACTGCGGTCCTCCAAGCAAGTTTAATAGAATGTAATCTGTTCGCAAAGTTAAACTGGAGTTGGGACTAATAACACACGCCAGTTAACAGTCTAAACGACATTAATCTGATAACGGGGGCGTCCATTTTCGCGCGGACAAAGCTCCATAACGGCGTCGATTACCATCACAATGGCTCTAAGAACTGTTTTCGCTCCGTCTGCTGGATTTGGTGGAAAGCGGACGGTTTTCGGACTTGGGGCCACTCGGAATGCGTCCCGCCATTGCCATAAAGGCCTTTGTAATTCATAATTATCATCCGGAAACTATTTCGTTTAAGTAACGGACACATTTCACCACACTGGAAACTTTGGACTCGAGTGGAAATTGTTGCCGAATTGTGCCTGAAGCTGGGAAATGGCTGGAAAAGACGACTTTTTTTGGAAATTGAACGTTTGAAAAAGCGCACACAAACAGGCAGCAGCCGTTACAAAGCTGGCAGGATAATTTGTTGACCCTGACGGCTTAAGCCGGGGACCTCAGCTAATTCTCTTTGCTGTCCGGGATAATTATGGTGAATAATTCAGTTAGGCAGTTGGCAAAAGAGCGTCGGTGTTGCGGTAATTAAGATCATTCTCGTTCCGGATTGGACGGCAATTATTCGGATTAAGATGATTGTCATCGTGCCAAAAACATGCAAGCGAAATTGTGGCTGTCAAACAATACCTTTAAACAGGGTGGCGGACTTTCCAACCACCAAGAGTGAAAATTTATAATGAAGATAAATGGTTCTAATTAATTAGGGCTCTAAGGGCAAAAACAGAGAAATAATATTTCAATATCCGAACCCGCTTGAGATATTTTAATTACATTTTCCAGATGTCCAGAATAAACCAGTTTTCTCGTGACCTAGTGGCGCGCCTGCCGATAAGACATTTAGTATTTTTGAAGAAAAAAATGTTGAGCCATTGGTGAGTCGAAAATTATTTTCACACTTTCATTGCTTGTTCTATTATGGACAAAAAACCGCTGTTGAGTTTTGTTCGTAGAACGCACGGTTTTCGCGGAAAAAAATAAAAACTTGTTAATGCACTTATAAGAAGTATACTTTATGAGCATCACCCTGTATGTTAAGTTTATCAAAATCCTTCGAATCGTTTTCAGCTGGAAGGCATGAGAAATGCAACAAACTTATTGGAAAATACACTGAGAGCCTCTGGTCGGGAAAAATCGACTTCTGAAATCTTCAACCGTGAATATTTTTCGTATTAAAGACTCGAATAAAAAATGGGCATAATGGGAAGCTTAGGCCGGGGACAATCCGTTGAACTGAAAAAACACGCGATAACACTTTTTTAAAGGGTAGATTTTTTCAAAAAATATAAAATACTTCCAAATATCTCATATTTTATATCATTTTCAATTCGAGGAAGCGAGGAATGCAACGAGCTAATTAGACAACATGTCGGAAGCTTTAGCTCGAATCAATCGACATTTTGGGTTCATTTTAAGAGATTTCTGAGCGGTCACGATCTTTGACGATATGTTCTTTATTAAGGCTCGGACATCTTAAATATGCATATTAAGAGGTTTTTTAGGGCGGAAATAATCCATTTAGCTCAAAAAACACACATGAAAAAAATTAATTTTTTACCGAAATTTTTCAAGGTTGTGATTTTTTCAAAAAAATAGAAAAATTCCGAAAATGCCTGAAAATTTGCTCCATTTTCTACTCGAGGAAACGAGGAATGTAACGAGCTCATTGAAAAACACGCTGGAAGCTTCAGATTCGGATAAATCGAAATTTTGTCTTCATTTTAAGCGATTTTTGAGCGGTCGCAATTTATCCTGAGCGGTCCTTATTAAAGACTTAAATACATAACATTTGCATATCAGGATGCTTCTAAGGCCGCAAACAAACCATTCATGTGTAATTAAATTTTGAGTTTTGACCGACATTTTCCTATTATAATTCAAGAAATATCAAGTTTTTTAAAATGTCTCGAATTTTGTTTCATTTTTATCTCAAGGAAACGAAGAATGCAACGAGTTCATTGAAAAGTAAAACCAAGTCTTAATGACTCCTGAAGCCGGTACAAATTGTCCTCAACTTTGAAAATTTGCCAAAAATTGACGAAAATAGCGAAAAAAGCCGCTCTGGCAGAACTAGCAGAGCAGCATCTGCTCGATAAACCAACGTAAAAAGCTGCTCTATAATTACTCTCCATTTGTTGCAATTACTTTTTATTACATCGACGTACCAAAAATAACTCGAATTTAAAAAACGAGTTACATCGCTAAATTGGGACTCGCACGAGAAACGGAGCACACTTTCCTCACCAAAAATCCAAAAGACTGTAACTTCCACTTACTCCCACTTGGAGGCATAAATTTAGTTTATTTAAAAAATGTTTATAACTTACAAAGGTACGATGATCAGTTTCACTCACTAAAAGCCTCATCAATATTTCCGCACGATTCCCGCTCTACTTGCCACTAATTTTGGTGCGAATTTCACTCGATCAAGGTGCGAAATCCCCAGATTCACTCCATACATCTGGTGGTATTTTATTTCGAAACTAAGGCGATTTTTTATCGATCCCATTCGGTGGTTATTAGCTGAGAGCACGCTATTCGGGAATTTGCCAAGTACTTTACTGGTTTTGAACAACCCTCGAGCCACCCGGTATCGATCGTTAGAAAAATACTTCGATGGCTTGTCTATTATGTAAACACACTCGAACTGTGCCATGCTCGAGGCACGTTTAATGATCTCCTTATTTGCGAGCTGAAAACTGGGTGTGATGCGATTTTCTCTAATTTTCGAAGATATTTCAAGAAAAAATTGACCTTTGCACGTGGACTAGGAGCTTAATGGCATATGGAAAGTAGTTTAGATGGCGCAGCCATTTGTGTACCCATTGGGGTGCTCAAACCTTGCTTCCCACTATGGTTGGTTTTAGTGCGGGGGTTAATGTAGAATTCAATGCTGTTTCAGGTGACCAGTGCTTTCAACCATTGGGTTTGGAGTCTGGACGGATCCAAGACGCTGCCCTGACAGCCAGCAGCAGCTACGATTCAGGAAGCGTGGGCCCGCATCATGCCAGGTAATTTTTTGTTCGGTCACAATTTCCATATTTAATTCCGTCAGTGCTCAGATAAAGTCTCGTCGGCCGGAATCGAATCCTCAAAAACAACACGACGTTGCTTTGACAAGCGCTCTCTCCATTTCCAATCGGTTCGGACGCAAAGTACGAATTTACTGTCTGGCTGGCTGGCTGGGAGATTTCGCCATCATCCCCCCAGGGGCTGGCGAAGCAGGTGCATCGTAAAACGCCAAATTGTGGAGACAGAAACGAAAAACACGCTCGAATAGCGATTTCCAATCTGGCATTTTCTTTCAATTTCCTCTGAAAGACGTCGAATTAGGAAAACAGACACTGTTTGCCCTCGGTTTTCCTTCAACATTCGGGAAAATCAGTTAGCGATTTGTCTGTCTCGGCTTAGGAAATACTTGTTTTCAGTTTTGATGCAAGTAACTGATGAATCAATCCTTGAGCTAAGGGTAGTTGAGAAAACTGATTTTTTGGGGGGGCTGTTTCAGGCTGCGCAACAACAAGCAAGGAGGCGCTTGGTGTCCGCGTCATATGGTGTCCCGCAACTCCCGAGAGTACCTGGAAATCGACCTGGGAAAACTGCACGTCATCACAGGTAATTTTCCGCAGTTAATAATCTGCTTTTTTGGCTGACAATTTTTTTAAGGCACCAAAACTCAAGGGCGCTATGGAAATGGACAGGGCCAAGAATACGCCGAACAGTACATGGTCGAGTACTGGAGGCCCGGACTACAGAAGTGGGTGCGCTGGAAAGATCGCAGCGGCAAAGAGGTGAGTTTCCGTAAACATGCCCCCGGACTAGCGCCAGTCGAAAGCAGTTTTGATGGCAAGTGAGTTGGAAAAGTCCAAATGCGATTTTCAATGGACCAATTGTTTCCCAACATCGACGTTTAATCTGTTAATTAGCCCTGATAGCTCATTGGAAATCACGGCGGTTTTCCGGCTTCAGCCTGCGGTGTTTTGTGCAGTTTTCGAAGCTTTGTTCTGTTGGTTGGCCAGCGGCGTCACTTGTCAGCAGTGCTGAAAAATGGGGTTGTTGGTGTTTGATGGTTTGCTCCCGGACTAGTCTCGCTTGATTCTAGTCGCGTGGTAAAGGCGCTCGAGGAAAAACCTGGACTTTCTTTGTAAAAAAAACTGAAATACAGCCATCACTTCACTGAATCCGAATGGGAAAATCCATCGGCTAATTTGATTGTTTGTCTCGATAAATTGCGAATACAAAACGGTGCGCGCGTATTTCCAACGCCGTCCCCATTAAATTTATTTCCAAACATCGCCCATTTATCATATTAGCGATAAACTAGTAAAAAAATTGACGTTTTGTAGCGGAAACGAACGAATATCGGTTTACATTTGCGAATTTATTATTGAATGTCGGCTTTTTGCAATGTCATTAAATGGGGGCAAATAAATCGGCGCACGTCGGTTTTTCTCCATATTTGAGACGTGTGGGCTGCCGGCAGTGGAAAACTGGCTGGAAACCTCGATATTATAATAATTAATACCCGTACGGGCCATCTGCATGCACAAAAACCCCGGGCGGCATAAATTGAGGGACGCAGCTGATGTATATCCGAGCCCATTTCCCCGTATATTGCGGATACTGACCTACATACATCGTTCCGGAAAGATAACCATGATGGATCGTCCCATGGTATGCCAGATCTCCGTTGACATAAGATAAAAGTGCGAAAAAAGGCCGAAAAATTTTACTCGAATTTCGTTGTTAAATTGCGATCGTTCTTCAAATGTCCAGATTTGCAGGCAACTTCAAAGGCTTCACGCCGAAGATTTCATTTAGCTGAAAACTATTTGTCTGCCCTCGGACTATTGCTAATAGATCTCAAGGGAAATCAGAAGAAAGTTTTGAGTCATATCGCGCAAATGTTGATGCGCCATGTAATTTAATTTGCTCGTTATATTCTCTATCTATCTGAATTTTTTCACTATCTAATTTATATATGCAAAATCCAGCCTTCTAGCTCTTATTTCCGAAGAAGATTTTTTTTTTAAATACACAATAAATCACAGTTTTCAAGTGCAAGTTTGAAAAATAGACAAAAATTTCCAGCAAATCTATAAGTCCAGAAATATTAAAACGAATATTTTTCTATTTAATCGTGAAAAACGCAAGCTTTCAGCTTTTGGCCATTTCGATAGAGAATTTTTTGAAKAAAACYTTGCAATTGCGAAAAAGTCAACTTACAGTTTCAAAGTGCAAGTTTGGAAAATCGCTGAAAATTGAGAAAATGTTCTAGCAACTCTACACTGACACGGATGTTCGAGCAGAGTTTCAGTTATTTGATGATGTAAAGGGCAACCTTCTACCTCTTACCTCTTTCGAGGCAGAATTTGCTGAAAAAAACCTTTCTGAAAAACGACAACTTGCAGTTTATAAAAGTGCTACTTTGAAAAATCGTCAAAATCAGAGAAARTTYTCAAGCCATTCCAGAATTCCCTAMAGACGAAAACAAACATTTATCTATTTAATAYMTATATAAAAYTTTTGTTTTGAGAAACCCTTGCGAGTCTGAAGAACTTTTTTTGAAGAAATTTAAGTTTCCAAGTGCAAGGTTGAAAAATCACCAAAAATAGAGAAMATTTTCGAGAAAATTCACAGTAACAACAATATTAGGGGGAATCTTTCTCTATTGACTAATGTAAAAGGCAACCTGCTAGTTATTAAGCCTTTTGAGACAGAATTTTTCGGATATAACTTCTTGATTCTGAAGAAGAAAAGTGCAATTTTGAAATCGTTTGGAAAAACGAGCAAATCGACAATCACATAGTATTAGACTAAAGATTTATCTATCTAATATTGCAAAAATATCTAACCTTGTATCTATTATGCCTTTGGAGCCAGAATGTTTTGAAAAAATCTTGCGATCCTGAAAAACGGCAAAAATAGAGAAAATACCTTAGAAACTGCATATTTACAGGAAAACTGCATTGGGGTTTTCTCCATCAACTCACATAAACTAGAACCTCTTGTCTAATCTCCACTTTGAGTGAGGAATTTTTAGTGTTCATATGTTTAATTCTCGATTCTGCATCAATACTTGTTTCCGACCCATACTCCAGCTGTTAGTCTGGGGGCATGGGAAAAAAACTGGAAAGTTGTGTTTTTTCAGTTACTGTCGGGAAATAGCGACACTTTCACCATAGTGGAACAGACTCTGGATCCTCCGGCCATTTCTTCCAAGCTGCGAATTCTTCCCTACAGCGACCACGTGCGAACAGCCTGCATGCGCATTGAACTATCCGGCTGTCCTTGGATTGGTGAGTTGATTTCCATTAAAAAAATAGTACTTTTTTGCAATCCATGATTTTTTTATTCCATTGTTGAACATTGACCGGCGTTAAATCGGGACTTTGAGTTAAATCCTGCATCTGTATCAGCATTCAATCACGTTTGGCGTGAACTTATGGCCATTTATTGCAAATTAAGCCGCGATAGGCCCTGTCCAAATGCCTAATTAAGTTCGTACTGTTATTGATTTAAAGACCGTTGTTTAGCATATCGTGCCCTTCGGCCGGTCAGTCCCATAAATCTGCCTGCGCTCCATCGCTCTTCACGCGCTATTAGTGCTGTCTCTGAGCGCTTAGTTAACGTTAACAATGCGCTTTGCACTGTCTTAGACGGGCTGCAGAGCTACAGCATGCCACAAGGAGTGAAAAAAACCGATCTGGATCTCAGCGATCGCAGCTACGACGGCCTGGACGAGAATGGACAGCTGCTGCATGGGCTCGGACAGTTGACCGACGGCGTTAAGGGACAGGACAATTTTCGACTTGATATTAAAGGGCTTGGCAAGGGTGAGTGAGATTTTGACTTTTTCTCCCTCCACCAATTCCGGCCATTTGGCCTCCTACTACTAAAGGGCCGTTACCAAAGATTAGTTTTGATAGTCCATTGTTTAAAAACGGGGGTGTTTGAGCTTAAGCTTTAAGTCGCGTTATTAGTGCGCGAGTTAATGGCCGAAAAGTTTAGTAGCATGCAAGTGTCGGAAAAAAAGAAGCCGATAAATTTTTTTCAATAAACCGCCGTTTGATTTATGGCTCTTGAGCAACAGTTTGTGAGGGATCGGTTCGAAGAACTTTATTGCCTGAAGGGCCCGCCTTATCTAAATAATGAACAGATTCTTTACGACGCAATATTGGCCATAAACATGGTGAAACTACGGGCCCCACTTGCGCAGCTAACCATCTGCTGTTGTGTATTTTTTTCGTTTTTTCCCGGATTAAACTTCTTGCAAGAATGCTGGAAAATCCGGGAAATACCTGGGCACGAATCGGCCCCCATTCGGTCAGTGGTCAGTCAAGCGTGGGACGGGAACACTCGGGGTTGCAATTTGCCACTTTTCAAAAACCCAATATAAATGCAAATCCGGCAAAATTGCATCTCAAGTTGCCAAATGGCGGTTGTACCGGCATTGCCACATTGACTCATTGTTCCAGGATATGAATGGATTGGCTGGCGGAACGACACTCCAGGTTGGGCCGGACTTCCGCTCGAAATTCTCTTCGAGTTCGATAGAGTGCGCAACTTTTCCGCCGCCCATTTATACACCAACAATTGGTTCACCAAAGATGTACAGGTTAGCAGGGTTTTCATTAATCTTAAGCTGCTCCCATGGGGCTCTTAAGGATCCAGTTTAACCTCCAAAAAAGCAGGAGCCAAACTTGGTATATGTTACAACATTTTCGTTCATATCTCCAAAAAGATTGAAAATATCGCATTAGTTGTCGGGGGCTTTTCGATAGAGCGTTTCGGGGTCTGTCTTTTATTATTGAGGTTTGCCCAAAAATTCCCAATCTTTGGGAGGTTAGAAGCAAACTTAACTCGCAAAGTTAAGGGGTTGTTGAAGTTGACGAGAGCGGATGTCCAGATCGCTATAAGCGAACCTTTTTAAAAGAACATCTCTAGAAGTGTATTTCCTAACCTTTAAAACGATAGAAGCAAAAATGGCACGATTTGCAGAATTGCTGCAGTTTAAGATAGCGTATCTCCAGAACGCGTGAGAATAGCTGTGTTGTCATCAGCACCTTTTTGAACAAGCGCCTCAAGAGCTGGCTTTTAGCTTGGGTTTTGTTTGCAATTCCTATCCTTTAAAAAGTTGTCAGAAAAAATACGAAAATTTAAGCGACTGCTGAAGTTTAACAGCTCGTATCTCCAAAACGGTTGAAACTAGAGCTATTGCCATACGCACCTTTAAGAAAGAGCGTCTCAAGAACTGTCTTTTACCTATCTGACTTCATCAGCAATTTCTAACCTTCAAAAAGTTTTAAGCAAAAATATCAAAACTTGAGACCTCAGGCATCATTGCGAAGTCCTAGCAGTTCTTTTAACGTTTTAAATAAAGCTATTTCTGACGAATCAGGTTTCAAGTGTTATTCGTCCGACAGTTCCCAAATAGGTACGTAAAATCATCCGTAACCGAGCAAAAATTAGCAAGCGGATGGTTTAAAGTGAGCGGACGAAACAAGGGCGACTTGTTACACGCTGAGGGTTAAATCAATTTCAAGTATGAGGCCGCAGAAGCCGCCGAAGAGCTTTGAAGCGGTTCCGACGTGTTCTTAAGCATTCGCTTCCAAAGTTGAGAAAAGTAATTTTACGTGCTCGCCGCGGAGAAATTTCGGCTGTTTTACACTGTTTGAAGCTGCTGATGGTGCATACTTTCGCGTGCCCGACATTTCGTCGGGGGCGGCCCGCCCCAAATTGTTTTCGAAGCGCCGAGAGCTGATAAGAAAATTCGGAAAATCCAAATTCTCTGCTGCTGCTGCTGCTGCTCGCACAGAGAAGCGCCCCGTCATGTGCATTTAATAATAATTAGATTGACGTAAAGCCGCTGTTTATTTCCGAGTTAATAATTCAATTAAGCCCGGCTCAAAGGTATTATTACATGTTTTATTAAAATAATAACTGGGCTTATTTGGGAATGGCATCGTTATTGCCCTGGCCCTCGTTCGTGTCAAATTACTTTCACATGAAATGCTCGAATTGCGAAATTAATGCCTGCATATTTAAAGCCCAATCAAATGGAATTTGTGCGATTGTTCTTGCAGGTTTTCTCGCATGCCCGCATCTTCTTCAGCCTGGACGGACTCAAGTTCAGTCCGGAACCCGTTCATTTCTCCTACATGCCCGACCTGGTGATGGAGCACTCTCGAAACGTCACCATCAAGCTTCATCAGCGCATCGGGCGCTTTATGAAACTTCAACTTTACTTTGCAAGCCGATGGATTCTGCTCAGCGAAGTCTCATTTGAGTCTGGTAAACATTCAATTTCTTCATAATTTTTCGCCGATTTACATGCCTCCGGTCTATTTGTGTGGAAAGAAGCATCGAAGCGCACAGAGGCTATCCCGCAATCTAGGGCGTCATTGTATGCCAAAACTTTCTTCCCGCCGCTCTTACGCGTAGTAATCCGGGCGCAAATCCTCTATTTTGAGTCCAATCTTTATCTCACAATCTTGCTTTTTGGGGTTTAGGGTTGTTGATTGGAAACTTCACTACTGAGGCGGAGTTGGCGGCAACGCTGCCGGACTTCACGGAAAGAGAGTACGCCATTCAAGGAGATGAGGTCCAGACGGCGTCCAAAAACTCCGGCAGGTTAGCAGGAGTTTTATGTTGATTAAAAAACGCTGAATTCGAAAAACTTATAGAAACATCAGCCGAGTGAACGCGTCCGGGCAAAATCCAGCTCAGATCAAATCAAAGGGCTACATAGGCATTCTGATCGCGATTCTAACCGCAATAATTCTCTGCCTGGCTGCTGCGATCGTGCTAATAGTGCTGAAGAGCCAGAAGAGCAGGGCGGCGCTTACCAGCGACAACGAAAAGGTAAGTCGCCCCTCAGACGTGTCTTTGCCCCAGCAACAATACACGTATTTCTACGTTATCGTTGCGGGCCGAAGTTGAACGTGTTAATTTCCGTTTGCGGAAGTGTATCACACGGCCCGGGACTATTTAGATAGCACAACGGCCAGGTTAAATCGTCTATTGCCGTCATAATCTTATCTTTAAATGCGTTAAGGCGTCCCTGCCAAGCTTTGTTGCCTCATTATTGCCATATTGCGGTTTGGCGCAGCAGCTGAAACTTTCCCTCAGTTAACACCAATTGTCTGCGCTATTTGCAACCTGGCCGCAATTGTGTCCGCTCTCGTACTAATGGAAAGTAGTATGGGGGCCGTTGCGTTAATCAGCGCTGGGTTTATTTGCCAAGGCTATCGAAATTTATTTCCTTTTGCTGCGAGGCTGTTTAGTCCGGGAGTTAAGGGCGAACATTATCAGAAAAAATATTCGCACTTGCAACAGGAATGGCGGAGCCAAGCTTGATCTATTTAATGCCGGGAAAGGCATTAAATAGATTACGTTTTTGAAGACATTCAAAAAAAGACCTATTATTCTTGAAAATTATAGTTTCCAAGTGCAAGTTTGGAAAATCACCAAAAACAGAGAACATTTCTGAGTAAATGCACAGTTATGGGAATACTACAGTCAAGGTTTCTCTATCTAGTGACTCAAAAGGCAACCTTCTAGCTCTTATCACGTTGGCAATATAATTTGTTGAAGAACTCGGCTAAAACGATAACTAAAGTTTGAAAACCCCCCAAATACAGAGAAAATATTAGAACAACGATTTCTCTATTATATGACGTCAAAGGAAAAATTCCAGGTCGTATTTACTTAAATTAAAAATTAAACAAAAAATGCGATTCTAAAAAACCATATCTTACAGTTTCAAAGGGTAAGTTTGGAAAATCTCCAAAAATTGCGCAAATTTTAGAACAAATCCAAAATTACAGAAACATTAGAGCGAAAGTTTCTCTTTTTAACGTCACGGAAGTCAACTTTCCAGCTTGACCTTTTACATTTTTGAAAACGAAATTTTACAAACAAAAACTCGCAATGCTGCAGACCCATAATATGCACTTTTAAATAGCAAGTTTCAAAAATCGAGAAAAGTGTTGCCAAAATCTACATTTACAAGAAAATTAGGGTAAATATTGCTCTATTTAGGGGTGTATAAGTCAACCTTCTAGCTTCTATTCCGTAAAAGACACAATTTTTTGAACATTCCTAAAAATTCTGAAAAACCATAAGTAACAGTTTGAAAGTGCAAGTTTGAAAAATCACCAAATATAAAAAAAAATTGCGAGCATATCAAGAATTACAGGAATATTAGATTATGGTTGCAAAGTGAAAGTTGCAAAATAGAGCAAATTTTTGAGTAAATCTACCTGGACAGAGAGCGAATTTAAAGCGAACATTTTCTTTTGAGTGAGGCTCTTTAGTCTGGGAGTTAAGGGCAAAAAAATGCGTATTGTCGAGTTGTTCCAATCGAATCTGTAAAAAGTTTGGGAAATAACGAAATTTCAAACTCCAACCACACGCTCGAGAAATTCTCCGCCACGGTTGCAAAGCATCGAAACCATCCCTATCCAAAGTTATTTTTTCCAGATTGCTGTTGATGAGCAATTAAAAAGTGGGGCTGCGCCCCAAGCCATGCCACCGTCACCAGCGTTTTCCAACTACGCAGGTGAGTGGCCCCAATTTTTCGCAGTTTCGACCAATTATAAGGCCGATTTAAGCCAGAGATTCGCACCCAGAACTGAAACAAACGAGGCCGCATAAGTTTAATCTTTAAATTAACTAACGGCCAAGTTAACCGAATGATATATTCACCCGAGGGATAATTAATTTCTTGTTTGTGCGGACTTAATGCGCTCTTTCGTGGCGGAAGCAGTTTGCCACTGCTAATCCATATTTAAGGCCCGGATTTCGAATCATCCCGAGTTTTTTGAGTTGGTTCGTGGATGTTTTTCAGATATTCCCGATTTGGTTTCGAAAAGTCGGCCCACTGTTGGTGAGGAAGGGGCGGCACTTTTTCTCACTGATCCACCGCCAGTACCGCCCCCACCTCAAAACTACTACTCCAGGGAGGAGATTTCCGGCTTGATTTCGCACTCGGGATACGTTTTGAGGTAGTTTTGATCAACAGGTTTTGATAGTTTAGTAGCATTTGAGGCATGAGCTGGAGAAACTGCACGTAATTAAAGGAGGAAATGGAGAACGCTCAAAATCACAAATATTCAGGCAATGTGAATTATTCCAGATCGAGTTCACGTTCGCGTTTGATGCTGCCGCTGAGCCCCCACATGGGAGCGGTGGAAAGCAAAGTGGACACATTTTCGATTAGGAAAATCTCCAGTGAAAAATTGCGGGTGATGGAAAAAGTGGGAAAAGGCCACTTTGGGGATGTGCACTTGTGCGAAACGACCGGAACGCCTTTGAGCGTTAAAGGCGAAGCGACTTTGTGCGTGCTCTACACTCTGGAGGACGCCACTGCTTTGGAGGCGTTCAAGCGGTGAGTTTCCCAGCCCCCCGATGCACTTTGAGGACGCGTTTTTGCCTCAATTTCCAGGGAGGTGAACCAGCTGGCCAGATTGCATGATGAGAATGTGGCCATTGTGCTGGGAGCCTCATTGCAAGAGCCTTCTTACTATGCGGTGCGACAGTACGCACATTTGGGCGATTTGTGCCAGTTTTTGCAAGATCACGTAGCGGAATCCACGAGCGCCGTTGCCAGTAATGCCCGCATATTAAGGTAAGTGCCCGAGCTTAACAATCAGCAGCGATTCCAGAGGCTTAGACTTTCCATGTTTTATTCAATGGAATTTGCGCGGATTCATCCACATTCATCGATTAATCCTCAGTCTGTAGCTGCCGACTTTTCTTTCCAGCTATGGTTGCCTAATTTACATGGCCACCCAACTGGCCTCTGGCATGAAACACCTGGAGCAAATGCAGGTGCTTCACAAGGACTTGGCCGCCAGGTGAGCAGCCTTTTTTCTTATTTTCAACGATTATCCCTCAAAAGCGCCATGATCGTTCTTGGCCGGGAAATTAATTGGATAACTAACGCCCGCTGTTAAGAGGCGCGACTGATTTGCCCCGGAAAATATCAGCGAACTAATTAAATCTGCCGGAAATAATGGACGATTTCGTATATATCAAGGGGGCTAGAGTGCAAACAGCACAGCGAATGCAAACAACTACAACCACTCTTGGGCTCATTTTCCAGTTAAAACACATTTGCCCCCTACTAAAAAGAGCGATTGTTTAGTAGTCCGGGAGCAAATCGCCTGAGCTACTACCTACTATAGAGCAAGCTATTACTTGCTCTAAATGTTTCGCTACTCCATTCGCTCGATCTCTCCACGTATATTCATGGAGAATAATTAGGAGTTTTCATTTGGACGACAGCGAGAAATATACACCGGTTTACGCAGCTGTTGAACTGTTAATAAGTCACAGCATTGAGATGTAAGCGTCATTTTAACTCTAATGGATTGCAGGCTGTTTAAAATGGGAATTAACAGTGCGTGACATACGCTCCCTGATTCCTCGATTAATGGAGACCTCTTCCATTATTTACTGTTTTCAATTAGATGAATTCCAAGTGGAGACGTTTCTCAACATTTTTAAGAGCTTTTGAGAATATTTAGGCAAAAGCGGTGTTTTTTCTAAGGGATTATTAGAGGATTGCCAACCTCTAAAGAATGGGGCCAGCGATTTGAAAGCATATCTGGAAAACGGCTGAAAATATTTGAACGAGTGCAAGGAGCTTTTTGATCAAACGTTTCGCGATATTTTCCTCGTCACGCTAAATGCAAATTTGCATAAAAATTTACTGTAAAAACCAGCAAAAATTGGACTCTCGGAAGCGGTTGAACCTATTAGACTGTTCATAAGAACGTTTTCAAAAGTGGCATTGAGTGCTATATTTTCTGTATTGGAATTTATGCACGATGTCTAACCACGAATTTTGAATAAAAAATCAGGAAATATTGCCCATTTCGGTTTATTTCGAGAAAACGGTTGGAAATACAGGAAATACTCGATTGTTCACAAGGACGTTTTTGGTAGGTTGGTTGCGTTGAGCGCTATCTGTTCCTAGTTGGAATTTTTGCAAAATTTCTAACGTTAAGAAAGTTACAATAAAAAATTGTGAAAAAAAGTTTCAATTTTCGGTGCATATCGCGAAAACGGTTGGAAATACGTAACGAATTTGTGCACGATTTTTAACCTCCAGGAAATTAAAAGTAAAAATAAACAAAAAATAACGTGAACGATTGAAAATATTCGGGCACAGTTTTTGTTCATAAGAATAGTTTTGATAAGCGCATTAAAGACTATATTTTCCCTATACGATTTTACGCAGAATTTTCAAATCAACAAAGTTTGAAGCAAAAAAAGACGCAGAAATCGTTCGAAATTTCAAAGTCAGAAATTTGAGCTTTCCTTTCCAGCTTTTCTCGGTTGCCAAATTTAATAAATTACAGAAATTGCCTGGTGGATCTGAACTACCAAGTGAAAATCTCCGACTTGGGCTGCTACCGGGACGCCTACAGTCAGGACTACTGCCATTGCAGGGGTAAACATCCGCTTCCATTGCGCTGGATGTCCTGGGAAAGCGCTCTTTTGGTATGACTTGTAAAAGCGAAATTTTTTAAGCGACTCCCGCCTTATGGGTGTTGCAGGGCACATATTCCAGCAAAAGCGACGTCTGGTCTTTTGCGGTCCTGCTCTGGGAGATCCTGACCTTTGCCAGGGAGCAGCCTTTTGAGTATTTGCCCGACGAAAGACTGCTGGAGAATTTCTCCCATCATTACCAGAACGATGGTCAGCAGGTGAGAAATGCAAACCAGGAAAATGGAATGCGATCAGAAACCTTTAAAACTCCTGTCTGGCTTGTTGCAGATGTACCTGAACGTGCCGCACATCTGCCCGAAAGAGATTTACGACCTGATGATGGAGTGCTGGAACCGAAACGAGTCGGACCGGCCGACTTTTCGCGAAATCCATCTCTTCCTGCAGCGAAAGAATCTGGGCTTTAGCGCGCAAATTCACTGACAAAAACTACGCGCAAAGCTGCTGACCTGCTACGACAATAATTACCGCCGTTTAAGAAACTCGTTGCGTTCGCTTGAAAAAAATTGAAACCCCCGAATCCCCGTTTTCCTTGACACTATTTAAGCCCTTCCCTTCTCTGCTTAGTGCCTTTTTACCTAAACTTGCCCCCATGTACATTGCCTGATGACGGCCGGACGGGACCGCTAACCGAAACGTTGCCACCATCGAATTCATTTGCTTTGTACATAGATGTAAATTGATACGGCTTTCGCAGCATCACGACTTTAGCCACTAGTTTGTAAATAAGACGTTTGTAAATTCTTACTACTGGGCGTTTGTATTTAATATTATTATTATTATCATTATTATTAATAGTTACCTTATAAGTATGTTAAGCCTGGATAGAGCGGCTAGCAAATTTAGGTACTTTGGACCAACGAAAATAAACCTTTATTAACAAGTTCTGTGTTGGTTTTCTATTCTTTTAACCCGCGCCAGATAACTCTGACAAAGGTAGCTCATGAAGATGGCCTTTTTATTGAAGCCGAAACGTTCCTGATAAGACAAGGAACGGGGTTGAATGGCAGATGCATTTCGCTGGTTTGGGCCTTAAAGGAATGGGAAATAACCTCTAAAAAAATGGGAGCCAAACTTCATATAAAAGAGCACCAACAATTTAAAAATATACAATTCCGATGTGGAAAACGCTTGGAAATATCGCAATTGGCGACAAAGGATTCTAATAAAACGTCTCCAGCTCTACATTTTCCTCTTCAGGTTCAATATAAGGTTGCCAATTTCCAGAAAGTTAGAAGCAAAATAAGACAAAGATGAGGATTTTATGTATCGGACTATTTGGACAAAATTTTCAATTCACAATTAGTATTTACTCAAAATTTCCAACTTCTAAAAAGTAAGAGGCAAAAAATGACCAAACGACAGTGGCAATTTTACCTAACGCGTTCTGCAAAGCTTGAACTTAAGTGAACTTCACGAGTTTTTTTTTTATTAGTTTTAATAGGAATTTGTCTGGAAGTAAGGGAGCTAATCAAGAGCCTTTTGCAAGTATGTGGTTATTTTGCACTTCAAATAGTGGAGAAACATTTGCCAGCCACCAATAAGAACTGAGAGCGAAGCCAATAAAAGACCAGCCCTCTACCTGATATTGGAAACCGGAAATTCTGGAATTGATTGTCCGAAAACGATATTTTCCTTCCTGTTATGACTGTGTATTGGATTCGGGCTCATATTGGACGATCCGCCCGATCCGACAGTGAAACTCTGAACGACCGAAAATGGAAACTCATCGGCCTCGAGGCAAACGAGCGTTAAATTTGCGGCCAATAAGCGGGTTCAAAAATTAAATTTCGCACCGCTTTGTTAAATCTGACCTCGGCGATTATTTATTAGGGTGAAAAGTCAGGGGCTCCAAATCTGCGTTAGCAGTTTATAAATTGGCTGGGAAAACGAATTTAAAAGCCATCTTGTAAACAGACGCTGCCATTGATCATGTACAGCGCTCCAAATCAGGGGGGGCACCGATTGGATTTATGCCCAACCCCCATCTAGTTATGAGTCGCTTTATTAAAAGGGGCAGCTGCCAGTTTAATTGGAGAATTTATTGGCTGGTTTCTACAAAAATTAGGCAACCATCATCAGACCGAGGATTGCCTCAAAGCCGTAAGGCAATATTTATGAAATTTTGGCTGGAAGCCCTCAAATTAATCGAATCGTTTCCCGTCAGGGCTTATCCTGTTAACGTCAGCCGTCTCTTAATTGTCCGGCAGAGAGAAAAGCAAAATCAATTACGTGACTCGCGTCTATAAACTCGATTAATCGGAAAATAGCAAAGTTTTCCTCAAAACTTTGAAAAATCGGCCCTGAATAGAAAAAACAATCAACGATGGTGGCAGACTCGGACGTGGTTCGTTACCTTTAAAGTGCCACTAATGGGGCGGGCACGAAGTTAATTTTATAAATTTTATATGTGACTCCCCCCAGTCAGATTACATAAAAATTCAATGTAATTTAGAAAAGTGCCGCTTAATACCTCACTTCGTTTAGGTTTGCGCTAATTTAAGGTCCGATAGACTTGTCGCTTACGGTCTTTGTGTTCTCTGTTTGCTGATTGGATTAGACCGTTTGCTCAAAAAGAATTATAATTTTTATTGTGGCTACCAGCCGTCAAGCCGAGTGCTTCAAACCATTTGATTGAAACCAAATTGATTTTTGTGCTAAAGAATCGAAAATTGAATTTTCGGGTTCTTATACTGTCGTTAAGCTCGCTGTAGATTGTCTCAAATCGCCGATTTTACATCATTCAAGTGCTAGAAGTTTGTCSTTTTATATATTTTYATGTATAGACTGAGTGAATTAATTCCGTTTTTTTCGAAACCAGTACGAGAACCGAATTTATTGTCTTACATAACGGGTTTGACAWTTTTTTTCAAAAAAATATTACCCCACGACGAGACCAGATAGAACCTTGTTYTTGATGTTCTGCCAWAGAGGAACTGTTGCTCTATAATCCCTGTTGGCATAATTTTGCTTTTCCTCWATTCGGGGTGATTTTTCAAAATTTGTCTTCARAAACTTCTCCCTCAAAGAGGAKMCCAGCCAGAAAGTTAATTTTTATGMCACTCTATACAGACAACTAATATCTATAATTTGTGCTAATCTCACTTGGCTACAGTTTTTCATCAATTCTTGGTAAATTTTCAAAAAGTTTCAATTTCCAAAGTCTTACTCAGAGACCAGACCATGTAGAAAGTTACTTTTAATGAGCTTTGCACAGARGAAATGTAGCACTATAATTCCTACTAGAGTCGCTTTGCCACACTTTTTCTCCAATTATTGACGATTATTCRAATCCGGATTTTAAAACCTTACTTTGCCTCGGATCAGGTTSGAGTGTAATATCTTCAGAAATTGTTACTCAAAGATGAGAGCAGCCAGAAAGTTGGCTTTGATGCTCCGGTATAGAGAAAACRAGTTTTTATAATTCCTCTTAGTATMATTTTGTTATAAGTTTGTGTTCAACTGTRTGAGTTTTTAAATTTGAATGTTCGAATCAGAATTTGTCGGGTATCAGATTCGACAMGTTTRGCCYCAAAAAATKTCCACCCAAAAAGGAGACCAGCTCAAAAGTTGCTTCTAATAGTTTATGGCCACAGGAAATATAATGCTCTAAGTCCTGCTAGTGTCGCTTTGCTACACATTTTCTTCGATTTTCATATCGGATGCGACCGGTTTATTTTCTCAAAACAGTCTCATTTAAATAGGCGAACAGTTAGAAAGTTGCGTWTAATGCCGTTTGATGGAGCAAAAATKSCGCCATAMTTCCTGCCCGTTTCACTTTTCTAGACCTTTTCKTCAATTGATGGCCATTTTTCTAAAAAACTTCGACTAAAGAAAATAGYCAAACGGAAACCTTCAAAAACTGGTGGCATGCGGTAACTCAAACAAGACAACGCATTCTAATATAACGAACACAAGTGAGGCTAAACAAGGAACTCAAAACCAAGTAATGGGAACAAATTTGAGGTTTCAAGACGACAAAGACCCGAAGGAATCTAATGTTTCCCAATTATGAGTTTGTATGAATTATGAATAAATTTGAGATTTCAAGATGGCAAAGACCTGAAAGATGATTAATGTTTCCCAATTATGAGTTTGTATGAATTTTAAATCTGTTGTCTCGCCGAAACGATATAAAACATTTTATTTCACACTGACTGAAACTCAGGAAGGAAAATAAAATAATAACAATTACACGCAGTCMAGAAAATAAATCAAATCACACAAGACAAGATAAAATTGTTGTCTCTGAGAACAGCAATAGYGAAACAGAAGGCCTGTGGAATAAAATTCAAATATCTATAACCTGCGTCACAGAAAGAGAACTACGACCGGATAGCATTGTAAAAAGCCAATCAAATTTTCTATTGGAGCTTATGAAAAAAATGATGTGCGTCACGGGACGCTCGACAGAAGTGATAACTTCATAAATTGTTTAACGCATGATGGCAATAATAATTTTATTTTATAATTTTAATATTCGTGTCAGTCTAATAATTTATAAATGGATCAGGAATAGGTAAAATTTAATTGAATTTCCTTTTGAATGTAAAATATCTTTTATTTGCATCATTTAAGATTCTTTAACGAGATGTTGTACATATTGTTCTTCTTGGGTTTGTGTAAACTCTTCTTCTTGAGTTTCTGTATGTTTTGTCGCAATTTCTTATTTGCTTTTATAATCTTTGACGTTCAGCAGTAGTTCGTGGTTGATGAAAGCTACTTTGAGTTGATCTATTACTTAATGCTCCTTTTTTAGCACGAAATCGTTTCTGGTGTTCACTATTACTTAATACTTTTCGCATTATAGCATGTTTTTGTGACTGCTCTTGTGTATGTTGTTCATGAACGTCTGCTACAACTTGTATCTGAATAGGAC